CGAAGCCCCGAGTTTTGACTACAAATACCACATGGAAGGTCATGGGTACCGATCAATAATCAAAAGTTCTGGAACTTCCAAGAAAAATCGGCTCAAGACTTTCTGACCACCCTAATATCAGTGCGAACCACTTACTGCGCCGTTTTTTTCGAATTACTTCTGATTTTTTGTACCTCATATTTTCCATTATTTTTCTCGTCTGCAGAAAAAAAAAATCAAGGAATGAATAAATTTGATGCGAGCGTGGTTGAGAAATCCGCATTTTAATCCGAATCCTCTTTTATTTATTTACAATATTTATTCATACATCGTGGTTATTCACAAGATGACCCTTCATGCAGAAGGTAAAGAGAGAAGAGAACCCAAGGGGAATTTCGGCAGGCTCGAATAGGTAAAAAGACAGTAGATCAGAAGAGCAGAAAGCGTGGGCCAATCATGTTTATCAAACCACATTAACTATATCGTTGTGTTCCTGAGAGGTCACAGGGCTAGGTTCCACTTTGCTTTATCTTCATCTTTATCAGAACTCTACATCGCACTGCCATGAAACAGATCGAGCTTCCTTGCGAGGGGTTCCGCAGTTCCCTCACTATCTCCATTCGCCAGTCTTGTCCATATTGTCTACTTAGTTCTTCCTCGGAGCATTTCTATGTTGTCCAGCCATCTCTTTTTGAGGTCCTTATCAGAATCCAAAGCTCTCTCCATTTGTTGTTGTTACGGACAGCGCGATAGTGTAACGCTTACCTACACTGAACAAGCTTCAAACCAGTCAAGAGCAATGAAGTTTAGACTCAGCTGACAGTAAACCTACTGAGATATATGCAATCTGCGGAATGAGAAAAGAAAAGAAAAATCCACCTCGCTTCTCTCTTCCTAAATTTGAAGAGTGAGGAAGCCACATAATATCAGCAAACTAGAAAAAAATCGGGCAAATCTAGGAAATTGCAATTTTGTAGGTATCTTTATTCGAACTCACTACCAGTCTTCATTATGCTTGATCAAGTAGCGCCGTCTATTTGGAAAAGAGTGGACCTCAAGAGCTAAGAAGTAAGGAGATTTTGAGCTCAAGATGCCGTCGACCCTTCTTTTGACCTCATCGCTGTCTTCGAATTTTTTCCCGCAAAAAGGGAGTGGAGCGACCTAAAGACGTGATAGTTGCTTGGTGCTAATTCAGATGAGCATGGTGGGTGGGGTACAAGATCGATTCCGAAATCTGCCAGTTTCTCATAGCTCTTCTTGGAAGTGTGTGGTCTTGCATTGTCCTTAAGGAAAATTTTTTCTCAGCCGGAGTGGTGAATCCCCAGAATTTCGGCCACTTCCTCCAGTTGGCTACAAAACGAGTCAGAGTCTATCACAGAGTCAGTAGGGACCATCTCGAAGAAGACCAGACCTCTGCGGTCCTATTAAAAACAGCTCTTTCTTCTGAAGGTTCTTCCGCTTTGTCTGTGGTTTTGACTCTTGAGCTAGCGCATGCGACGTAGTGACTATTGAGACGTAGTGACTATTCGTGGTGACTATTGAGTGGATCCAACCAAATGTACGACAGCGGCTGAGGAGAGAAATACACATGTCAACGCGCCTCTTGTTCCATGTGCTCAGGACATGAGGGAGAACTCGAGGCAGTTTCGGGGCCTTGCCAAAAGTCCAAAGGATATCCTGCACAGTGGACTTTGGAACTCGTGTAGGGCCTGCTATGTAGCACAGAGAGACATCTACGTAGCTGGGCTTCATAGTTGGCGACTACGACGCTTCCTTTCCGCGTGAGTTGTCTGCTTATATCAGGAGCTTCGTCGAGTGATTCTTTTATATTATTGAAATCACGGTATCAGATAAAACAGTTCGCTCGGGAGGGCTTGGTCGCTCATGAAATCCCGCGGGAAATGATAGCCTTCGCCTGCTATATGATCGCTACGGTACTGCAGGAGCAGGCTTGCTTAGTATATCTCCTTCTTCAAATCTAGTATTGGTAAATTTTGTCTCTTCTCCGCACCGCTTCTTTTGAAGGCAGTGAGCTGGAGTAACCTCTGCCATGTTATACACTAATATGTGAATTCCAGATAGTCCATCTTCGCAAATAACCGAGATATGTATGACAGTCAAAACGTACTATACCAATTTCTCTGATCATTTTTTCGGACAACCTAATATAACGAACGGCGAACGCCGCTCTGTTGATGGATTGCTCATATCAGCGTCGTGCATTTTAGCTGAGGCATTCATTTGGCACAAAGTGTTAGTATTGCAGCGCCACTCCTCAAAATCGTTTTTGAAATGTTCGCGTATAAGGAACCTCCACGAGCTTTTGATCACAATGCTACATGTGTTCCTGTGCAAAACTGCCGAAAACTCATTTTCGAGCCCCAATTCTTGGGGAGCCTGTGGGCAGGGGCTGAGGCGGGGGCAGGGCGCATTCTGGATAATTCGCTCTCAGAAGCCTTGCAAAAGCTTTCGACCACAGTAGGATTCGAACCTGCAATCTTCTGCTCCGTAGGCAGACGCGTCATCCATTGCACAACGCGATGGAGAACTTCCCCACCTGCTTCAGATGGAATTAGCTCTCTCACCGTTTTTCTATGGACAGCCCAATGTTCATCAGCAAATGCACTGGCAATTGCGCAACTGTGAATGCTGAACCGCTTTTTCGTTGGGTGATGTTCTCATCTTGCCCTTCTTCAAGAGGTTTCTTATTAGAAGGCACTGTCCTCCTAGCTAGACTGTTCTCTTTTTTCCGTTGTTTTGTAACTTGTATGTGCATAATCCTGTTCAACGAACTTATCTGAGACATAAATATTCAGTTCAGTGTTATTTTGCACCCGCTTTCACTTCATTCCGCTGTATGTATATAAATATGGAATGTAGATCCTGCGTGGAATTTTCCGGTTGTTTCTTCTACATTGTTACCCGAGTGAGTATTCATTTGGTTTACGTTTATTTCTTCAATCAAACATCTGCTTTCGTATCTGGCACAAGGTTTATCCTCACATATCGTATATTTCAGGATAAATCTGGGAATAAAGATGATTCGCGTCATTGTCTGGACGCTCTTCTTCGCTTTCGCC